AAATATATTATGTATCTATCTCTGTTTATATATTCAATATCTTAACAAAATATTAAATATGCAATACATATTCTTTATTTTAATTTTTAGTGACAAAAAATAAAAATGTTATGCAAGTTAAAAAATTTTATCTTAACGAAAGCTATTCAGTTTTATTTTCAGTACATTTATAAATCTAGCATTTGAGACTTAAGTGGCTTTGTGTTTTTCTTTCTTATGAATGAAAAGCATTGGAAAACGCGTACAATAAAAAAGCTTATTTTAGGATATTGCGTCAAAAAATGTTTAAAATATTCTCTTTATCTGGAATTTTGAACAAAAATACCTGGAAGATCAGAGAATTTTCAGGGAAATTTTTTACAGGATTTAAGTAGACACTCTGGTAATACTCACGAATCGAGGGGAAGAGATAATATATATATTTATAATTGCGTGACACGTTATTGTCGCGACAGGTTTCGCGTTTTTGTAACGATGTCGGGATATTTTTAGACGAGGTCTGGCAATTGGCCCATCGAACATGCCTTTTTTGTTGTATGAAAATTACGCGTGTGCGATTGCGAGATAATTGTCGTCATCCGTTCAGCGGATGAGCTTTTCCAGAAAACGATGTCGATTTTATTCATTTTGATTTTAAGCGATTTTCTAATTTATCGGCAATAAGGGGAAGGTGAATGCATCCTAATTTATAACGACATTCCTTATTTAAACCGCTACAAAATTGAGAATGTTATTTTTAGCAGACTATATATGTTCTTTTTTTCTTCACGATTCGTTCATTTCGCGATTATTCAACTTTTGTGCCATATGACATATTTGCTATTTATATCTCATAATTATTAAAAACCGCGCAAAGAATGGCATCCCATAAAAAGAAATTTATTTCACTTTCTTCTCCTTTCTTCCTTGGATTGCGGCGAGGCGATAAACAATAATTTCAGAGACCGAATGCGGTCGCGGAGAAAACCTTTCACTGTGGTCATTGATGGATGATCGAAGAGAAATTCTTAGGATCTAGTTTGAGATTTCTAGGACTCGGAAGGAGGGGGCTCGGGCCTTTTATCGTCCTTCAGAGACGGGTCACATTGTTACAAGAGATTTTGAAAATCATGTTATCTCGCTTACAACGAGATTTTCACGCGAATCTTTATTGCGATTATCTCTATAGCCAGATTCCTGTCATTAGTAACGGTTCATTTTTCACTTTTCAGGGTGGCTTTGCGAGAGTCTACCTAATGACTGACGTCAGTAACGGAAATCAATACGCGTGCAAGATTATCCCGAAGAATCGGATGCAGAAGATTCACATGCAAAAGGTGGGTACTTGTTAGAAAAGCGCATCTGTCTCTATATTTACACATTTCGCTGAATAACGTATTTACTTTGTTTGTAGATTGCGCGTGAGATCATGATCCACAAAGAGCTGAATCACGTAAACGTCGTCCAGATGCATCACTACTTCGAGGACAATCTCAACGTGTACATGCTTCTAGAAGCCTGCCCACGAAAAGTATATATATACAATATACATCTCTTAGTTACCTTGCTAATGTTTATTACTTCTTACCGCGCATTCATGAGAAAAAATTTCGCAACTCCATCTTCTACTTTTATGATAATATCTTGGTGCTGGTAGAAACTCGTCGATACTCGTGGCCGTTGCTTTATAAATTATTTAAACCGTCGACAGATATACTTAAAGCGATAATAAATAACGTCATCTTTTTATTTTATTTTTATCGTGTATTATGTAGTTGCACGATTTTTTAACATCCTTTTCCGTCATTTCTCGCTTTGTCAAACTTATTTTTCACGACATGCAACACCTGCAACGGCTTGGATCGTTGTGTCGGAATCATTGTGCACGCCGTAACCGAGAAACAATTATAGGAGCCCGTCTGCAAACGACCGCGATCAGTAACGGCCGCGTATTTTCACCCTGCCACGCCGGAAAGAGAGCGGCACTTGCACTCTTCATGGCTGATCTGCCGACCTGTTTGTACCGTTAGGATGCGACGAAGCATCAACTAATCGCTTGATTATCCTCGCTCTCCCGCTCGATCGTCTTCGCGACTCCTATTTCCGTCCGTTTCTCGCGAGAAGATCGCTTGATTGACGGTTCAAGTCACGAAAAAAAGTCTCCATCCTGTGAAAAATTGTTTAGAGACGTAAACGTAAAGTGTGCTTGTAGCGAAAAAGGTGAAATAATGTGCGATAAGAAAAAGATTGAAAGCTGACGAGAACCATGACTTTAGTAGTAAAAGAAAATATTGCAGACTCTTAAAAGATCCACGCCTTATATCACATAAAACTGTTTACGGGAGGAACTTTTCAAGCTTTTTCTCGTCGCGTAAATAATCTCGGAAAATTATTTGGTTTCGCTGAACATGAGAGCGTGAAATAAATAACATTGGTGAGTATTTAGCGAAATTTTTTCCAGCGAATAACCCCCCCAATTTACTAGAAACCAGAGACGGCGGAAAATGCAGTCTTTTTTTGCAGAGGTATATATTTATCGTATCGCGGATAAGATAAGATTCCTTGAAAATGAAACAGCAATCGTATCTTGCAAAGAAAATAAAGCGAGCCGATCCCCTCGAAGGGACGGTACACGTGCATTCCGCGTATTCAGGACGCAGCGTCTTCCTGTCAGGAAATGCTTTCTTTCGATTGTTTGCTCTCGTCTTACATAGGTGGATTTTATACGGTTTTCTGTAGTATAAAGTTTCTTTCGTGGAAGTTTCGCTGTACAGGCTTCATAATGTTACGTTTACGACGACTCGTTGCAACATCCGCAAAGATTATAGCTATTGTAGACAGAGAATAAGTATATAAAATTAAAATACAAATAAAAAATCAACTCTTATAATTCCTTAGCTACGCTTTATCGCGTCGTTTAAACTTTCTGCACGTCACTAATGCGTGAAGCGACATAAATGTCAAGGGTGTAAAAATATCTATTCTCTTTCTTCTTCTTTTTCGCCAGAGCTTGATGCACGTGCTGAAGTACCGTGGCAAAGTCACGGAACCGGAAGCGCGTTACTACATGAAGCAAATGGTGACTGGCGTCGCGTACATCCACTCGCAGAAAGTCGTTCACCGGGATCTGAAGCCGGGCAACATGTTCCTGTCAGATCGGATGATCGTCAAGATCGGCGACTTCGGACTGGCGACCAGGCCTGATGGCCAACGTAGACGAGTGTAAGGCCCAGTTTGGTTTACGATACAATCAAAATCAAACATGTGTTTCAAAAATTTTTTAAAATTTTTTTATATAATTTATAAATATAAATTTTACAATAAGTAAAATTTATAAAAAGAGTTACAAGTGCAAGAATGGAAGAAGATACAAAAATAATGCGATATCTTACAGTCCCTTTTCTTGTTATTACTATACTGGTGTCTTAGTTATTTTTTGTCGACAAAAACACACAAAAGAAACATCGAGATCCTGTTCCTTCTCTCTCTCTTTTCGGCGCCCCAACGATTGTTACGGACTAACAGATGTGCTCGTCTAAACACAGTATCAAACGAAACATCATAACATGTAGGCGATCGTTTGTATTTGCAGGACGATATGCGGTACGCCAAACTACATAGCGCCGGAAGTGTTGTACAAGCAGGCGTACAGCTACGAGGCGGATGTTTGGGCGTTGGGCTGCATATTGTACGCCCTGCTGGTGGGCCAACCGCCCTTCGACACGGCCACGCTCAAGGAGACATACGCGAGGATCTGCAATAATCATTATCGCGAAGTGGACGACAGTATCGCGAGCAGGAGCGGCCAGGACCTAATCAGATGGCTGCTACAATCCAATCCCGAGTTACGGCCGAGTCTGGAAAGAGCGAAGGAGCATGCCTATCTCACGAAGGAATACGTGCCGACGTCGTTGCCGCACACTTGCTGTTACCAGATGCCACCGCCGTCGATCATCGAGCCGCCCTCGTCTCCATCCTCGGTCTCCACGGTCGCCAGGAATCAGGGGACCCCGGAATGACTCGCCTGGAAGTTATCATCTTCAGGTCTGGCTGGCAAGTATTTCCGAAACACGAAATTTCAGATGTGGCAGCAGAGTGTCGTTCATCCCGACGCGGCGTCGCTGCGTTATCAGCAGCAGCAGCAGCCGATTCAAGCACAACAGCAAACGCAGCAGCAACCGCAGTTGAATATGCTGAATCGTTCGCAGAAGAGTCTGCAGAAAGAGTCCAAGGTCTCGAGCTGGCTGGTCAGAAAATTACCCAAGCTGCCGCGATTCCGACAGCGACTCAGCAGCGTGTTGTGCCCGGATCACAAGAAGACTGGCCTCGTTGCCCAAAGTGTGCAGATGCATCGCGCTCTAGAGATATGCGTAACAGAGATGAAACGAAACAACGCGTGCAATCCGCCGATCGTGGAGGACATCGTGCCGCTTTTTGTCACCAAATGGATCGATTATTCAAACAAGTACGGGCTGGGCTTCCAGCTCTCCGACAGGTCGGTCGGCGTTCTCTTCAACGACAACACGAAGATCAGTTACACTCACGATAGAAGGTGAGCATTTCAACGAGAAGTCTAGAACGATGTGTCGAATCATGCAATTTTAATCGATATAAAATTACGATTTTATATTCCGTAAATTCTTTATAATTGCAGAAGAGTGGAATACATGACGACCGACGATGAGATGACGCGATATCACCGAGAAAGGGACGTGCCGGTGCCATTGCAAAAGAAGCTCGAGTTACTCCGTCATTTTACCGAATACATGGATGATTTCTTGACAGAAGGTGAGCTCGATCGATTCTTCCAACATTCATTCCGTGTAATTTATTACACGGAAGAGTGTGAAGCTTTAATTTTTTTTTTTTTTTTAAATCTGACTCGTCTTTCTCCGCGAAGCTCAATCATGGCTCGAGTATTTTACTTCCCGAGAGTGCAAAAACAACACAATGGGAACGTGACGTAAACTACTTGGGCCATTATAGCGGCGCGGCCTAAGGCTTAATGAGCAAAATATTAACTTAACCGCTCGCTAATGTGTGCTGTCTAGGTGGTGAGCTGAAAAAATATCGAACGCCTCCGAGACAGTCGAAAAATACTTGCGTGCCGCGAATGAGACGATGGCTTCGTACAGACAAGGCCATCGTGATGGAGCTAACGGTACCTCTCCTGCAAGTGAACTTCTTCGTGGACCACACGAAGATGGTGGTGTCGCAGGAGACCGCAGGTAGGGGCTACCTGATCACTTACATCGACACCGGCCGTCGCGCGTCCTCCTATTGGTTAAACGACCTGCGTGACCTCGGCTGCACCGCGGACCTCTACGAGCGTCTCTACTACGTCTGCAAGGTGACGCGTGAGTTTGCTGAACTGGACAATAACACGATCGCCTGACGATCGCCGGCGGATTCTCTTAAAATTTGTTGAAGGACAATGAGATACCCGAAAGATTTAGTTCTTATCTGGGCAACTTTTTTCCTTAAAGCAGTAGTCAAATGTTATATAGCAGTCATAATAATTCTTCACACAACTTTAAAAAATTGAACATTATTAATTACTACGGTTGAGAGTTTTTGGATAAATCGCAACTGCTATAACGAGAAATGAAAATATCCGGACCTCAGTTACCAGGATAAAGGTTAAGGAAATAGCGATGGTGCAAGTACGTCACGATACGTACCGTTACGCGCATTTCTTGAGAGAGGAGAGGAGGAAGGCCGTAAATAAGAATGTCACGCGTGTAGGTCCGCGGAAGGTATGTCGTGCTTCCGTTGATTTATGAACCTGTTTATTGTTTCCACAAAACCAGAATAAATTGCCTACCGAAATAGGATGCTTGAAAGAATGTAAGCATTCTTCTCTGGAGGAGAGTTAATCCCCTCACGTGGATTGAAGACTAGTTAAATTAATAAGTAATTGTTCGATTAAACTGCCATCGTCAGGGTATGATGATGTTCCCTGAATTCAGATAAGCTACATATAGCTATACGTTCCTCTCTCGTATCGATATTACATATTATGAAAACAGAATACACCTGAAATTCCGAGAGCTACGCACTATTTTTACGCACAGTGGCATTTTTACGCAGATCTCTTCTCATCCTTGTACGAAAATAATTGAATAGATACGCAAATTATCGAGATTAATGTGATATAAATGTCATAACTATTTGCGAGATATTCGGTGACACTTTCCATCATAATGAAATGCAAAACGATCGCAACTATAATATGAGAGTGTCAACTATGTTACTACTACCTCTGTTAAATAGATAGCATAGGTAGCTGTTAAAATATTTATTTTTCATGGCGCGGATCTCCCTAGTTCAGTACCTATGTCGAATAAGTAATTGACATTTGATAGATTAGTCTCTTATCCGGATAAATCGAATATAATTTTATTACATTCGATAATGTGTCATGTGGCATGTAGTATATCGTTCGGAACGATAGAAATCTTTTTACGTACAAAACTTTTCTTCCTCTATAAAAAAGAGAGAGTACGTGTTATAAAAATCTAAAAATTCCATTTCACGATTCATCGTGCTAAGACACCGTGTTGCCTGTATTAGATTGCGTGAGAAAGTTGAACGTTTGAATATTTAAAGGCAAGCGATATCTTTACAATCAACCAACATAAAAAAAAATCCGGAAGATGTCTAAAAATATTTACGCGCATGTTTTTTTTTTTTTTTTTTTTTTTTTTTTTATTTTCCCAAGAACGTATCGCGCGAAATACCTCGGCCGCTTTGTCATTTCATTTGCGAGAATTTCGATTCGGTATATTAACCGCGAAAGACCGGCCGCCGCGTTTCTGCATGCCGTTTATGCTGGCGTGGCTTTTCACATTCCTACAGCTCTCCTTCTCCAGGGACAAACAATGTTAACGACCATACGAAGGGATCGGGATTCCATCTCTACCGGGCGATACATAAATAGGCCTACGCTTTTACTCGGGGACCAGATATACGCGTACTCGTGTTATTCTTCCTTTTTTTAAGCGACTATTTTTAGAGATCCGACGGAATTTCACGCTTCTCTGCGACGTACTCTCGCACTCCTCTTTCTCTCTTCATCTCCTCTGCCTTCTCTTTTTTCTTCATTTTGTCCTTTCTCTCTTTCTCGAACTCTCTTTGTGATGCGCTTCTGTCTTAACGTCTCTTTATAGCACGTCATGCTTTCTCTCTCTCTCTCTCTATCTCCCTCTCTCTCTCTGCAGCTTGGAATTTTGGAACGTCAAGAGCATGGTCTCGTTAGATATGCAAAAAGAAAATTAAGTTTTCGCTCCTTTTTGCTTTTACCGAGTCGTCAGAGGAAAATTTGCAGTAGCAATGAATTTTGGTCAATTTAGAGTTTGTCGTCAGACATATGTATAGTCTTGAAAGCATTCATAATAAAGTTACGATTCCTTTGGATATTTAAAAATCTTTTATATCTTTAAACACTTTTTTAAAAATTTCCAAATATTTAGATACCGAAATCTTTTTCTGCGCATAAAATATATTACGCATTCATAATGTTTCATGACATTTGCTGTGACGTTACGCAGTAGTAATATGAAGATAAATAAAAATTATTCATTAAACGAGACACTTATTTTGAGTAATTTTCAAAAATTAATACGGTATTTATTATTATTTTGTTTAAATGTCAATTAATATGGACACGTGTCAATTAGTATATGGATACACGCACGTGACTCTTGATTTAAAATTGAAAGGTAGACGGCCGATTAGAATTTTTTATGCAAATTTGTGCATTTAAATAGTAGCGTTTCCCAGCGGTTTAACCTCTGGAGATTGACCTTAGATGCGTTGCGCCTGCCGCGTGGGCCTTAGGGGCCCGCGCGTGGGGAACGCAGACTCGAGTTCGACGTCCTACGTCAGAGAAATTATATCATTGGCAACGTGGTGAGTAGGATGGATATCCTGACGATGACATTCATCGAGTCGGTTTATATATCTCGGTGTAATTTGTCGCCAACTGACTTTATCACGAATTAAGCGCGCACTATGCTCTTGAAATTCGTAAGCACGATACTCGCGCATTTTGAAAGGATCGGATTGATTTTTATCGCTCGCGATATCTATTGTATTTTCCGACATTTTTTCATGCATAATAATATATACGT